GTAAGGAGCCGAGCGTTCGGCCCCCATCTCACTCCCCTGGATAAACCCGGAGGGAGTTGTGCGCTCCGAACACCAACCCTCGGCCGCGCTCCACTGCTCGGCCTTGCTCTGGAGACTGTCACCTGGGAAGGTTCGTGGGGCCCCTTTCCCTCGGCCTGGGCTGATCTCTGCTACTTTGTGCACAGTTGGGATGTGTTTACCTCAGCCTGCCCGCAGAAAAATAGTGCCAGTTTGGTTGGTGCTTATTTCTTTAATTAAAGGTGAACAATGTTAAATATAAATGCATGGTTTGGTTTGGCTTAATACTATAAAGAACAAAAAGTGTACTGAACTGAATAACTTGTGATCAGAATGAAGTGGACTTGCATACTTGCAGCAGTGTGACTTACTGTGTTTAATGGGTTAAAAGCAACAGTGCAGAAGGTTTCCAAGGAATCACGATGCCAGTGCTGGTGTAAGAGCAAGGAGAGGAGAAAAGCCACAGCTGTTGGGCAAGCTAGAGGAGAGACAGGCAGAAGTGCTTTCTAGGGGGTTTTTTTTATAGTTAGAATGTAATGGTAAAAATACTGTCATGCTGTAGAAAAGGCTAAAAAATGTGCTCTGCTAGTGCTATTTAAATTAACCCCAGGCTTGGGATGAGTAAGAGGAATTGTCAGTTGCAGTACAGGATGGTGATGACTGGTATAGAAATCACACAGCAAACCAGGTAAGCCCGTTGTGATGGTCAGTTAATATAGGTCTGTCTTGTTCTTTAGGTAAAGCAAATTGAAAAACGAGACTCTGTTTTGACATCAAAAAACCAAATTGACAGGCTGACCCGACCTGGATCTTCCTATTTCAACTTGAACCCTTTTGAGGTTAGTTTGAACATTTTATCCTCCCTCCTGACTTGATGTGCCAACTTACACATTTACATTGGGTGTTTAATTTTGGGAAAAAGACCAAACATAAAGAAAAAAAAAAACTCTTTAGATGTAGATTACTGTGCAGAAGGTTTACAGAAGACAGAAGGATGGTGTGTATGCGTCCACTCTCTGTTTCACTGTTTTGTGGTAGGCACAAATTATATTACTTTGACACGGTTCCCATGTGCAGCAGCACTGGAGGCTTTGTCGGGTGAATGCCAGGTACTTTGGGAATGAGAAGGTAACAGCTACAAGGGGCTTGCTTGTCAGGTTCTGTTCTGAGCGCTCTTGACTTGGCATTTCTAGTTGTCTTTATCTTGGATGTTCACCCCACTGCACTTGTGTAGTGCACACAGTGAGGGAAGGACTCTCACTGCTCACCCGAGTCAATCTTGGGGGAGTCACTGGAAAATGGGTAATTCCCTTGCACGTTATATAGTATGATTCCAGTTGCAGCTGGTTATAAAGTCTTAATGAGTATGAAAGCCTGGAGAAGACATTAACTGAAACAATCTGGTGTTCCTCTGGAGCTGGCTTTCCCTGGGCGTGTTCCTGCCTGATACCATCTTCATCTACCTTTTTAAAACCTCGGCTGCTTTTTGCAGTCCCAGTTAAGGGCTGGTCAGCCAGGTCAGTCGTCAGATTCACCTTGACAACGTTCAGTTCTGTATATATCTTATTGCTTGACTTGAAGAGTAAACTAAAAAGCTGTTTAGAAGTAGACTGTAGCTTTCCTGTGAGAGAGTGTTTTTTATTTACAATTTCAGTGTCAGATCAACGTGCACCTGCATTCAGTAGGCTCACTTGTTGCTCAGGACTGCTGTTCAGTAAATTAATTCACAAAAGAGTTCCTAAACTCTGCCACATCCCTCAGGATCAGTACATAGACAAGTGGGCTTGTTCATGGAAACCAATAGGTTAAACTCTCCTGTCTTCTTTCAAAATGATAAAGTGAATAAGTTCTTAGAAGCAGTATGTTTCCTGCCCAAAGTTCTCATTTATGAATGAGTGTCCCAAAGCCACCATGTGTTTCCATTTCTGCCAAACTAAGTGTTGCTACAGTACTGGTTAAAGGTTTAGACCAATGTGACTATTTAGGGATGGCAGCTGCCTGCATGAGACTTCAGTGAGGAAAGGACACTGGTATGCTCAGAGAAATCTGGCGTTGTGAAAAGTAGAATGTCCCGAACATGGTGTCTCTTAAAATGTTTCTGTTTTACTAGGTGAAAATTCATATCCTGACGTAACTCCATGATGGGGGGAGCTTTCTGGTGTTGTGTCTGTGTGCCAGTGAACCAGGTGTCGAGAGCTTGCTGCCACGAACCTGAAACGTGAGGAGTATCATCAAACTTGCTCTGCTCTCCTGGTCTCTTTTAGGTACTTCAGATGGATCCTGAAGCCACAGATGAGGAGATAAAGAAAAGATTCCGGCAGGTATTTGGCTTTTGCACATGAAGCCTCTGGAAGGAAGCTAGAAGCTCAGTTGAGATTGTGCGGCTGGGCTTGGGAATGAGAAAAATGGTGGTAAAGCTGTATCTGGGTAGAAGAGTAGCCATTTGGGGAAGATAGAACAATCTTTGTATCAACAAGAGGAGAGCTGCAGAAGTGTCCCTGGTCCATGCATAGTATGCTTCTTTGCCTGTAGGGCGTGTGATGGAGCTATTGCAAACTGATATGCCCATGTATAATCAGCTCATTTAACTTTAGTTCAAAGAGAAGGTCAAAATTTGTCAGAAATTAGGAACTAAGAGAAGATATTTTTCTCAAAAATATATATTTTCTCTGAGATTTCTTTAAGAATTTCAACAGACATTTTTGACTTACTCTGCTGACAAATCTGCAGAAGGTTGAGTTTTAATCAGTGCATGCAGCAAAGAAACACGGTATCTGGAGGGGCTGGAGCCTCCCATCTGAATTAGTGGTGTAAACATCAAAACCTGTCTTTAGAGAGGAAGCTGTGCTGGCTGACAGAGGAACATGCCTGCTAAGCTGGTGATGGGGTATGGGCTGCTTCTCTGTATGGGAAGTAGGAGGATAACCTTTAAGTCCATTGCTGACATCTCAGTTCTGTGAATCAATACAGTGGAGCTGTCTTAGCTTTAGGCTGACAGAATATCACAGGGAAATGTTTTGAAGTCAGGGTGATGAAATGAAAAAAAGTGCATGGAACTGTGTATTGAAGAAATCAAACACCTAAACACAGAGTGTGGAACAGCCAACAGAAGGAAAAAGACATTGGCTGTAGCAGATCACCGAGTAAATCGGCAGCATGCTGCTGTTTACAACCAGAGGCAAACCGTTTTCCTGGCGAAAAGCAAGTGCCATCTTTAGAGTTCAGGAAGTAATTATTTTGCATTCTTCAGCACTGATGCCGTTTCAGTTGCTGCACTGTGACTGGTTTTGAATGTTATACTAGGAAAGATGCAGATGTACTGGAGAGTCCATACAGCATCTGCAAAAAGAAGAGGTCTGAAAAAAAAAATGCCATATGGGGAAAGTTTTAAAGAGTTTTCGCTGGAAGAGGAAGGTGGAGGGCATGTGCTTTCCAGCCCATTTAAGTTTGCCCTAAAGATGATAGTGATCAGTGTCCTGTCTGCTGAATAGAGAGTACAGGAAAGACCCTAAGGAAAAACTTACCCACTCTTTTAAATAGTTTGATATTTGAACAGCCTTAGGAATAGTGGAGAACTTCTTGGGAGGCGTTGTTGAGTAAAAGATAAACTTTGGTTGAGGATGATCTTTGTAGGTTTGTTTCTCCTTAAGACTAAGGATACAAAACTTCGGTGATCAAGGGGTTCGTATCAGCCCTGGGCACTGCAGCTGAAGGGTGTTTATATTATTCTGCACATCCCAAGCTGCAGCTTTTCTCAGTCAGCCCATTTATTACAGGGATTGTATTTGATTTTACTGATACATACTTGTACATGTTATCAGCTGATTTGTCTGTGTACAAAGGAATGTGATCCCCTGTGATTCCTTCTATCTGAGACTATTTCCCTCTTCTCACAAAAAAATCTCAGAAATATTCATCTTTTACAATGATCTTGATAAGCAGGATCCTTTCTCTTGCAGTTGTCAATATTGGTGCATCCAGACAAAAATCAAGATGATGCAGATAGAGCCCAGAAGGCGTTTGAAGGTAAGGCTCTCGCCCTGTCCCTGGGCTGCTCAATGATAGTAGTTGCACTACTATTTTTTGCAGCTGGTGTACATGTTTATTGGGGGTGGAGGCCCCAGGGACAGAAGAATTGCTGAGGGAGGGCAGAAGGCAGAGGGAGCAGCAGGTGTGTGGGGTGGCATTTCAGCGGGGAATGTCACCAGGTGGCAGTAGTCGCATTACCAGTTGGCAACGGGGAAGCTGTTTAATCTGTGCATTAGATTTTACTCAAAGACCATACGACAGAAGTAATGTGATGGTTTTAGGTGTATGCTTCGCATTACGGTGTGGTGTTATGCATCTTAAACTTACCTCATGCCCTATAACTAAATCACTTGGCAGGGCTGATGCTTTCACCCGGCTAACTCCAAAAGTTGTCTGACAGTCTCTGCCATCACTGTGCCCCGAATCTCATTTGACTAATCATAATATCACTTACTTAGATGTATTAACAACCAACCAAACAAAAACCATCCAAACAAATGCCCCCCAAACTATAGGAAGCAAAATTTGTATGGTCAACAAGTACCAATCTTGTGATGCCTTGTGAATGTGACTACTGGTGCTATTAATGTTGATGCTTCTTCTTAGCTGTAGATAAAGCATACAAGTTGCTGCTAGATCAGGAGCAGAAGAAGAGGGCCTTGGATGTGATACAGGCAGGAAAAGAATATGTGGAACACACTGTAAGTAATCCATAGGAATGTCCAGGGGTGGGGGGTAATCAGTCCTTTGTAATTTGCTTTTTGGTACGCATGCTGCATGTTTAGGTCACTAGAAGGTGAGCTGAGCAAACATCGTAGTGAAGTTGTGCAGGTGGACTCTGAGTTCTTCACGGCATCAACAAATGTGCTTTGTCTGAGACTGCTGTTGAACTCAGTGCAAGATAATTCAGTGAAATTCAGTGCTTGAAATAATTAGGTCAGACCACGTGATCTGACCTAAATTTTTTTTTCAAGTCTGTGAATGAATGATGCAGTTCAAATGTGTGTAGGTGGAAGAAAATAGGTGGTGACAGCAGGAGGCTGGGAAGTTTGGGGGAAATGACCTATAAGAGAAGAAAAGGAGCTTGGATTGCTTCGGCCAAGAAGTTAGTTGAGTGATGTGAGTGGACTAAAACACAACAACTTTGAGAAAGCAGATAATATGGGAGAACTCAGACACTCTAAACCAAGGAACAATTTATGTTCCACTTGTTGTTGTGAGTCTTTTGAATATTACAAAGCAAAAGAAACTCCCTGCTGGTTTGGCTGATGTGTATTGGATATGAATATATCTTTTTAAAAAAAAAGGGATTGTGCTGAATGAATAGTATCTAACCTACTATTTTTAATTACTACAGTTCATGTGATAGTGATCTTGTATGTGTTTATCTGGACCTAGGACCAAGAGGTTTTGATCTAAAGTAAAACATCGATCCAAATCAAGAACATCCAGAGTTCTTCCCAAACAGTGGAGTAGGAATGCAGAACTACTTGGATACACTTATGTAAGCCCTATAAAACTTTTTAGGCTCTTATTTTTGTTCTTAATCTTTAGGTGAAAGAAAAAAAGAAGCAGTTGAAGAAGGATGGAAAACCTCCCATCGTAGAAGAGGATGATCCTGAAGTTGTAAGTCATATACTGTTCAGAGAAACCGGAGAGTACAAAATGTGTTTCGAGGAATTAAGAGTCAAAACCAGTACGGAAGTATTTATTAGACTTGTTAGTGTTTTGTAAATCCTTGCACTTTCAGAAGAACAAATTCTGATAAGCCGCTGAAGAGTACCATGTGTTGGGTAATGCCTGTATATTTTAGAAAATAGTTTTAACTGTAGTGTAAAGAGTAAATATATAATGAGCTTATATAGATCAAAATACCCAATTCTTTTCCTGGAGCAAGTCTTCATTGCTTGCGCATCACGCAGTCTTTTTTGGGTTGAATTTCTTGTTGTATTCTGAACGCTGGAACTGTGGCATCCCTGCTGCCAGCAGAGGCACGTGTAGAACCCGCTGCAGCATGTCGCAGATGTGCTCAGTGACATTCTGTCGGAAGTGCTGTTTCAGCTGTTTCTTCCGTATAGCGTTGGAGGATAAATATGCTGTTCTGCAATAAGTCACTTTTCTTAAAAAAGGCACGACATAATTTAGTTGTTCTTACCTGGTTTCTAGTCTGAGAAAGTCAAGGGATACTAGAGGCTTTAACAGAATAATAGATTATTATCAAACACTGACATCGTTAGTCTTACTGTCACCACCTTTTTTTCCCCTACAACGTGATTTTTTCCTCTTGATATCACCACAGTAACCCCATAACCATCTTATTTTCTGTTGATTTTCAGAAGTCTCTTGCTGTTCTTTAATAATGAAGTTTGTTTTAAATATACTGGTATTTCCTACTTGAAGGCCAAGACTGTTACAAGACATCAAGAGGATCTGCTGGGAAATTACTATCTAAACAGTGACCGTTTTGCCTTTTTTTGTCAAATATAACATCGCAAGACTTAAGAATAAGAGAGCTTGAAATGAACAGCTCTGTTTAGGCACAGCCTTGTGAATACAAATGAAAATTAGATTACTGTGGGGCTAATAAATACTTGTTTCCTGGTGTCAGGGCCAGAATTTAATCAGCGGTGTTTTATGTCTTTTCATATGGCACTGTGACTGACTACTGTCAAGGCAGGATACAGGGTTATGTGCACATACATATGCTTTGCATTCTTTTTATGCTTCTTACATTCTTATGTAAAACAGACTAACTGTGTTAATGGGCATTATTTTAAGACTGGGTTTGTGTTTTACAGTTCAAACAAGCTGTATACAAACAGACAATGAAGCTCTTTGCTGAACTGGAAATTAAGAGGAAAGAAAGAGAAGCAAAAGAAATGCATGAAAGGTATGAGCAGTATCGTGCTTGTGCAGTTCAGGCTATTCTTCCCCCCTCTTGCTTCCTCAGAGAAGATAAGGAATCATAGAGTCTTAGAAAAGTCTGAGTTGGAGCAGACTTCTGGAGATCGTCTGGTCTGATCTCCTGCTGAAGCAGGGCCTTGAATTAGATTAACAAGGGTCCTGTCAAGCTGACTTCCAGTGATGTAGATTCCACCACTTCTCTGGGCAACCTGTGTGTTGTAGAGCTCTGTGCTTCAGAAATGCAAACAGGAAACTTGCCCTCCTGTATTTGACAGTGATATATTTGGTATGCTTATATACTTCTGTGTGCATACATGGAGGCTGGCCAAAACAGTGAAATGGTGACACATTTCTGCATGTCGTTAGTGTGCAAAGAATAGATTTTTAAGTAAGTGCCAGAAATACCCTGTGGCATGTGTGATCCTGAACTCTTTTAGGTCTTTTGATCACATGTTGCCTGAGTGCTCACTGTGGATGCACTTCATAGAGTGGTCAGTGAAGGCAATCTGGGAGGTGGTTGTACGGCAGTACTTTTGATTACAGATGAAAATTAGGAAAAAAAAAATTAATTCTTACCTTGCACACTGAAGTGATCATTAACTTTTCAAAATGTGTGCTCTCAACAGTTTTAAAGAGTTATCACTAGAGTTATGGAGTCCCACTTGCTTTGCCAAGCAAGAGCTGACCCACTAATTAAGTACATGCATGCTGTCAGTGGTGCCAAACCACATTCTCTGCTCGCTGCTGTTCCAGATTACTGTGCTATCTTAGGTGTGCATATTTATCTCTTCTGATAATCACTTTAATCTGCCAAGAACTCAGAAGAGGTTTCTGAGTTGTTTTGAAAGTATTACTGTGTTTCTTTAAAATAGATGCCTGTGGATTCGTAACTTCTTTGTGGCTTCCCTTCCAGGAAGCGGCAGAGGGAAGAGGAAATTGAAGCACAAGAGAAAGCTAAACGAGAGCGAGAATGGCAGAAGAACTTTGAGGTAATCAGCAGCTTAACTGACAGGATGAGTCTCAGCAGTTCTTGGCCATGCTGCAGGGAATGCCTCTAGAGAAGAGAGAGACCTTTTGTCTGCAGGTGCTGTAAGATAATTTAAGTAGATGCTTAGTAAAAGATCCTGTGGAAGCCTGGGTTTTGTCCTTGTGTGGGGAGAAGAGCCCACTGATAGGGCTTTGGTATTGCCTTTCCAGAAGCAGGTCTGGTAAATTAAGGTATAGTATTTTTCAGCTCTGTCAGCAGTTCATTCTTGTCCCTAGTCAGAAATTTGAATTGCTGCTTAGCCCAGGTCACTGGTGAGCAGTAAAACTTAATCTGGCAGCTGTTCAGCCACTAGTGTGGATTGTTGGTGGTGCTTTTCAGTCTGGTTGCTAACTTACGGAATCTGTATCTGCTGTGAATATCAGATACCTGAATCCTGAATGACAGTCTCTTCCCTTTGATCCCTCCACCCTTTATTCAAGGTTTAGGAGTATCAGAAGTAGCTTTGTGGTTGTTGTGCTGCTATTGTAGGAGTTACACTTACAGCCCACCAAAATACGTGATCTAGCCTGTAACTCTTCCCTTATTACACACCAGAGGTGAAGTTTAGTGACATGCAGGGGGTGGTGGGCAGGAAAGAACAGTAACAGTGTGCAGGACCTCATGGAAAGATGAGCTAGATTGTTCATTTAATCCAAAACCGGATCCCAGACTGTGTTCAAGAGAACTTTGAAAAGGAGGGCATCTGAGAGAGAAGTGCATGAGCTGGACTTGGCATCCCGTGGAAAGTGGACAACTAGGATGTTTCTGGAGACTCAACTGGGAAGAGTCTGTGTTGATATATATATGTTGTGCTATATAACATAGGCATAAGAAGCTCAATATTCTGGAAAGCTTGTGTAGTGCTGCTGTGTTGAGTGCGCTATGGGTTTTGTCATGTAATGCCAGAGAAAGAAATGAGTATGTCCCTGGCTTTGCTGCTGGCAGAAGTTCTGTGTCCTCATGCCAGCATGGCCACAGAAGTTGGATGTCATTGCTGTAGGGATGCAGTGAAGCATAGCAGCTGAGGAAACGTGAGCAAGTCTTAGAAGCAAACAATGACGGACCAAACGGGAGCTGCAGAACTATTGATATTGCAGCTCTGGGTACCTGCATGTCTTCAACCACTCCTAGACAGCTGAACCTCTGCACTCCAGCCTTGCTAGTGACATTGAATTCATCTGAAAAGATGGTATCAAAGCTAAGTGTTAATGTCCAGAATGGATCGCTGGAATACAGAAGAATAAGCAGCTTGTTTCTGCTAGTGACCATCATTGAGAGAGGGTGATTGGAGACAAAATAACGCATGAATTCCTGGCCGCTCCTGTATGTGTACTGATTCAGTGGCTGCCTTTGAGATATATCCAAAAGGAGTCTTTGTGTCACTGCTTCAAATGATATTTAAACTGTAAGGAAAAAATTAAGTTGATATTCTGCAATTGTGGTTCGTTCTGTTTAAAAAAAAAAACAAAAAACCAACCCCCCCCCCCAAAAAAAAGCCAAACCCAACACAAAAATCCCAACCTTTAAAGGTGCTCCTGTTGTACCTCTGTGTTGCTCTTCTGGGCTTTCCTGCTCCAGGTAATTCCAGTCCTTGTCTACATACTGCATCCTAGTTCTGATCTTGTCTCTACCCTAAAGACCTGGAGGTTTTGGCCCTCATATATGTTCTGCAGTATTTCTGAATCTTTACAGAAATACCTGTGTCATCCAGGTGGTTGCCTACTGTTTCTAGAAGCTATTCATAGGCTGCTTTCACAGCTGAATTCTGTCTTCATCCTTATATATTTTAGAAGTAGCAGGCTGGAATGTCTACTTTGTCCCACCCCACCCTTAAAATTCACTTTCTTAGTAATTTCAAGAATAGCTTCTTCCACCAACAAGCTGTAAGAAACAAGAAGGTTGGAACAGAAGTTGACATACAGCTTTATCCCTAGCAAAAGTGTGATCAAAGAATGATTGAGGTTGGAAGGGCCCTCTGGGATCCATCTGGTCCAGGCATCCTGCTCAAGCAGGGCCACCTAGAGCCAGTTGCCCAGGACCACGTCCAGATGGCTTTTGACTGTCCTCAGCAACAGAGACTCCACAACCTCCCTGGGCAACCTGTTCCACTGCTCAGTCACCCTCAATAAAAACATGTTTCCAGATGTTCAGATGGAGCCTCCCATGTTTCAGTTTGTGCCCGTGGCCTCTGATCCTGGCTCTGGACAGCACCAAGAGAAGCCTGGCTCAGTCTTCTTTTCACCATCCTTCAGATACTTGTACACATTGATGAGATCTCCCTGGGCCTTGTTTTTTGCAGGTTGAACAGTCCCATCTCTCTCAGCCTTTTCTCATATGAGAGATGCTCCAGTCCTTTAATCATCTTTGTGGCCCTTTGTTGGACTCTCTCCAGTATGTCCATATGTCTTGTACTGGGGAGCCAGCACTCCAGGGGTAGCCTCACCAGTGCTGAGCAGAGGGGAAGGAAGGATCAGCTCTCTCAACCTGCTGGCTTTGCCTAATGCAGCCCAGGACACTTCTTTGTTCTTCATACCCTTCTTTGCAGCAAGGGTATGTTGCTGGCTCATGTTCAACCTGGTGTCCACCAGGACCCCAAGGTTCTTTTCTACCAAGCTGCTTTCCAGCCAGGTGGCCCTCAGCATGTGCTGGTGCCAGAGGTTGCCTGTTGAGGTCCCTCTGGATGGCAGCACAACCCTCAGGCCTGTCAGCCTCTCCTAGTTTTGTGTCATCTGCCAACTTGCTGAGGGTGCACTCTGCCCCTGGTGCCTGTTCTTCCCCCATCCTGCCGTGGGGAAGGAGAGAGGTGGAGCAGGCAGCTGTTGTAGGCAGAGCCTATGGGCAGCACCAGTATTGCAGGCACAGCGAGGGTCAGATAGGCCTGCAATGTGTAGATCTGGGCTTGTTCTGTCCTGCTGTGAAACCTTCAGCCTGAAGGGATCAGAGGTTGGCTTTGTGGGGAGTCTCCCCTTTCCCCTTTCCCCTTTCCCCTTTC